AAAGGCCAGTTGCCAGGCTAAGCTGATACGGTATGAACACTCAAATTCCCAGTTGTGGTTTTGGGTGTATAGTGTAAATAGTGGTATTGTATTATCATGCTCTGATGTCTACGAGTACGAGATTAACTCTACTTTTATCTCAGAAACTTCAAGAACAAATAGAGGCTAGCTAGGTGTTTAGCCCAGGGTATGGTTGTCTAATTAAAATGCCTAGGTAGGGGAGTTTGGCTGAATCTGAGTAATTTCAGATTTAAAAAGCAGCAGCAACAGCCTTATTAGAACTCCAGTGCTGTCCCCAAGAGAAGCACCAGGCTGCTGTTCTGTGCTTCTGAAACCACCACTTTCAGGTAGACATCAATTTAAAACTTGTGCTGTGCGTCAAAGTGCAATGAGCAGCCAGTCGATGAACATTACAGTTAGTTAGTAAAAACAGGAGCTCGTGTAATTACCACCATTTTACTCTCTTTCTTCCCCCTGGCTCCCAGCCCCCTCAAATGCAGGGCTACCTGATCCATGCTGGGGGAAGGTTTGCCCTGTTTTCAGTCTGCTTCACTCTAGGAATGTAACTGTGACGGTTACATCAAGAGCCTAGTGACCTCAGGAAGGGGTCAGTGCCAGTCAATAAAATGAAAATTAAATGTTGATGACATGTGTGAGACACTTTTCAGTTGCCTCTCAGGTTTTGACTGGAGCTGAACTGTCTCTTTACAGAGCTGTCTACTGGCAGGGGCAAGAGTGGAGGGGCAGAGGAACATGAGCAGAGCAAAGCAGGCAAGAGGAAGAGTGGTGAAAGCTAAAGTGCATGCTTCAAACAACAGAACCTAAGGGAACAAACAGCTAGTCTCACCTACTTGGGATCAGAAGTGGACTTTGGAGTGAAGTGAGGGAAGCTACAGCAGGTAAATGTTAGAAAATTGCCAAGTCAACCTGTTCTGTAGGCTAACAAGCTGATGCCATTTAGGTCTAGTATTGTGCATGGTTCTTGTTTTACCATGCAACAGATGAAAGCTTTCTGTGTGAGAGCTGGTACAGCATGTTTGTACGTAGGAAGCACAGAAGCTCACAGCGGTTCTTACTTGACCTCTGGCTGATGGAACATGGACTCTTCTAGAGAGGACAGAGATTCTGCACTTCCCTTTCTGGGGTTGTGCTCTGAAGGTTTTTTTAAAAATAAAAAAGCTGTTACTGCACCTGAGTGCAAAGATGCTGTTACACAAACTCATAGGTTTTGCCATCTAAGGATGTAACTGTAGCAGCCAAATCTACTGCAGGATTGAATTTTAATAAATGCTATGTTTGTATAAGCTATTCTCTGAAGGAGCAATGAAGGGCATTACTCCTCCCTCAGCAATCAGAAGTTGCTCTGAAGGTTTCAGGTCTGGCAGAATCAGTCAAAACAAGTATTTCAATAAGTAATTGAATTCTTCTTCAAATAAGAAGTATGGGAAGCAAGAAAAAAACCCATGCGGTTGTTCATCCTAGGTAACTTAAACAATTTGAAATACTTGCTTCACCGAGGCTAGCACTGCTGCCGTGGGAAGAGTTTACTCACAGCAGTATCAGACATCGTAAGATGTTAATGGAGAGAAGTGCCATTAGGAGAGGTGGGGTAAACAGGAACAGGTAAGAGGCTGAAACCGTTTGCTACCAGTGCTGTAAAAATCACTACTGCTTGTGATGAGTGGTCCAAAGCTACCCAATCATTAACAGGCGCACATCCACAGAGAAGGACATGTATGATACGGGCGAGCCCTGGGTGCTGGGGAGCAGGTTGTACTGTGGGCAGGTGACGCACACTCCACAGCCAGAGGCACACAGGCTCCTTCCTCAGCTGTTCTATATAAACAGGTACCATTTCTGATTTTATTTCATCATAACATACAGGTAATGCTCATGACACAACAAGACGAGAAACTCACATCTCTCTGAACCATTTAAACAGCTTGCCATACACCAAGAACATTATATTTGTATTGAACATGTACACATTTCCCCCCCTCGCATCCTCCACTTTGCTTTCCAAACTTCTGCAAACCATTTCCAGCATTGTTCAGGTACAGGACACTAGTTCAGACAGGAGACAGGGCACCACCCTGTGCAGGACATGGGGTTAAGGCTTCCTCCTACAGGAACCCCTCCCCTAAAAATACTGAGCCTACAGCTTTGATTCATTCAGTGACTACTGCATATTGGAAATCACAAGGAGCCAGAAGACCAGATTTCAGTTCCTCAGAAGGTGATTAACCAAACAAAACCCAAACGTACATCTTTGTATGTATAGAGAGAAGGGGAGAATGCACATGTGAAGGAGCACAAAAGACAGGAAGATTCTGCCTCTCGGGATTGATTTGTGTTAACCCCATTAACTGATTTAAATCAGACAGGGGCATTTACAGAAATCTGGCTAAGAGGAGCACTGCTAAATGGTTTACGTACATATATATACACAGAGAGTGTGTATATATGCTGAAAATAGTTGTAATGTAATCCTTTTCACTTGATATGTAAACAGAGACAAGTGGCAGTATGTTTAATGAATAGCCAAGACCTGACACGCTTTCCAATGTGGTGTCAACCTATCCTTTGCCCGTACTAACCCTTCTTCCAGCAACTCCTACACATGGCACAAACCCAGCCTCCGGGTTCAGTTACTCCTGGTGCTGCCTCTCCCTCTGTGTCTTTTGCACTTTTTAGGATCAAGTTAATCAATGCTGTAGCTTTCAGTGCTAGTTTCAACAGTCTGCTGTAGGAAATTAAAGTCACATCCTAGCCACAAAACAAAACAATGACAAAATCTTCTCCACTTTTCAATATAGTAAAACCTGAGATTTGAGTCACAAACTAGCTAAACTTACAGTAAAAAAAAAAACACAACACAACAAAACCCCCCAAAAAACCCCAAACAAAACAACCCAAGTTGCTGACTTGAATTAAGGCTTCAGTTTGCTGCTGACAATTTTTTTTTTTTAAAGCCGTGGGCCAGGGTTAAGTATTTGTTACACGTGATTTACAATTTTCCGCTGCCTACACTGAAATGGGACCAAACGCTATCGTTCCCCACCCCCGATATGCATGTGGCTGGGGAAGATGGAGCCAACACGTGTGCAGCTCCCATGGGAGCAGAAGGATGAAGCTTTAGGCTGTGCCTCCAGGTACCCCCTCACTGACAAACCTCTCGTGACAATGCAGGCGCACACAAGAATTTGAGCAGTGGCAGCCAAGGTACTGCACGAATGGTGAGCTGGAGGGGAAGCAGCTGGTTTGCTGTCAAAACCACCATGAGAAGGGGGGCTGTGTCTGCTCTCCCATGAAACACCCTGTCGGCAGCAGGGAAGGGACAACCTCCTCGAGCTGGCGCGTCCTCTGGGGTGGTGCGGGTGGGTGCGCAGCACGGGCCAGCAGCAGCACAGCTACCAGCGTCTGCAGCCACATCCGCTTTGGGACAGGCCAGCAGCACAGCTACCAGTGTCTGCAGCCACATCGTGCCTCGGCACGCTGGGAAACCAAGCCCCTGCGCTGGGACCAAGGACGACGGCCAGGAGCAAGTTCCTTTGGAGCCGTGAGTGGGGGAGGTGAGCAGGCTTCCCAGGAAAGCCGTCTCTTTTCAAACCCCCTTTCTATCACACCGCACTATGAGATGGGACACTGGAGGTCCCCTTTTGTATTCCTCGGGCAGCAGATGCACCTCTCTTTCAGACAAGGTCAGCAAACCACATGAGATGCTTCTACCTTTGAAGCTCCATGGTTTGAGGATGTTGGGCTGGGAAAAAAAAAAAAAAACCACCCAACCACTTGAACTGCCCCCACCCCACATGTGACCAGAACCATATATGAAGAACAGTTCCTTAATGGTACTGCTAAGTTAAGGACAAAAGCCCATCCCAACTCATTTTTAGCTTTAAAAAAAACCAACCAAACAAAAAAAATCCTTCAAGAACCATCTACTGATTAGTCAGTTGGCAAGAAAAGGATGTTGCGGTATTTTACCAGCCACTTCTCTTGCACCTAACCCTAAGTATTAACCACGCCGTTACCACTTAGAAGCCAAAGCAGCTACCCCTCTCCCAGAAGCCACCCCTCTCCCAGAAGCCAGCTTAATATCAACAATACAAATACTGCTTATTTTATGTTTCAAAAGACTGGGGGAAAGTATGGTTCATTTGTCTTTTTTTTAAGAATTGCTGCTGAGCCAACTGAAACACTTGTGCGTAGACAGCTTTAAAAAAAAAAAAAAAATCAAATGTGGCTAGTTGTTACTTGTTCACATTGCTTATGAACTGACTACCAGCATCTGGCAGCCATAAAGCCCTAGTTTATTTTTTTATATATATTTTTGAGGTACTGGGTTTTGTTTGTTTTTTTTTTTTCTCTGAAGCAGCTCTCTTGCGAATCACCTAAAGCCTATCCATTAGAACAATAGTTACACCAGTATATACATTTGTCTGAACCGTGTGTTCAGACCAGCCTTGCTGTAACCAGTCCCTACGTCCTTTGGAATCGCTCCCGGTCTCCTTTCTTATGGGAAAAAGGAGGTTGGCTCAGTGTCAGGGCTAAGGTGCACTGGTGAAGATGTGGGGCAGGAAGAGGGGAGAACAAAACTAGGTTTGATGGGTAGGAGCGTGTTTCAGTGGAACCAGCCAAAGGGTTTGATATCAAGAGAGCTTCCTTTTTAAAAAACAGTGAAAGGATGTGCAATCCATTGCGCATAATTGCTTTCTCTGTCAGGGAAAGATCTGTGAAATGTTCTGCCCTTCCCCAGGAAAAGGGAGGAGAAAAACCCAGCGGTGCACTCTGTCTCCTCAGGCAGATGCTCACTTGTCATTTCTTTGCCGTACTAATCTAGTTACTGCGTTCACACTGAAGCCTCACATTTCTTCCCTCCCCCCCACATCTTTTTGCATGAAGTCTGTTCTTTTCAGATTTACAGGGACCTCTCAAATGCTGGGGGAGCGACTTGGAAGGGGACGCAACTCCCATAGTCAACACAAGCCTGCTGCCCCTCAAGACACTTCAATGATTTCCATGCTGCCTGAAAAACTCGACTGACTGCCTACTTTCCCCAGTTCTTCTCTGGATCTGTTGTCTGACATGATGCTCTCCCCAAACTCCATCTGGCAGCTTCTGCGCTTGAACTGCTTTTCAAAAGAGCTTTCCTCGTGCCAACTCCGCCTGGAGTCACCTCGATCACCCTGCTTTGGCCTCCTGCGCACAGCACAGGCCTGGTCACAGCCCGTGGGCAGCTGACTACAGCTGTAGGCGGAGTAAGCAGCGCTGTTCCCATAGATGGCAGAGGCAGAGTAGAAATGCGAGGACTCGGTTGCAAAATACCAGCTGTTGGTAAGGGACGTAGCCGATGTCTGAGGAGCCAAGATGTCCGAGTGCCAGCCTTTGAGGCCCAGCCCAGCAGCAGACTTTGCCAAATGCTGCTGGCTGGTGGAAAGACCAAACAAGAAGTTCGTTCGGTAGTTGTCTTCCATGCTCCCGCTCCGGTGGAGGGGGTACAGGAGTGACCGCTGAGTGGTGGCACTGCCACTGGCTCTCCCCAGGTGTTGCCGTTTGCTCTGGCCATCCAGCTGCCGGGTGTTCTGGGGTTTGTTGGGAGGGTTCGCTTCCTCCTTGTCAGGGCTGGTTTCTGGGGTCTGCTCTGAGACCTCCTGGACAGGGGAGAACTGACACAACTTGCTGCTGCCCTCTAAAGCAGTCGTGTGTTTGTAGTATTCCAGGGTGTCTTCAGAGGAGGTAAAGCCCTGAACCGATGCAGTCACGCAGTTGCTACTTGCTGCGTAGGATACAGATTTGATATCCAAAGAAAAGGAGCGCTTCAGCCGGTTGCTGTCCTCCACCTTATCCAGGGAGACATGCAGTCCGTTCATGCCCTGTACCAGCGGGCTGTCTTCTAGAGGGGACAAGTGCCCACGTGGTGTGCTGCCGTACTCCATCGGCTTCTGTTCCACCATCTCGGAGGTAGCTGTGATGCAGAGCTGGTTAGCGGAGAGGCTGCTCTGCCCACCTTCCGGGACCAGCACGTGCTCGCTGCTTTTTTCCAAATGCAGAAGTTTCAGCTTACTAATATGTCCAGGCTGACCGCTCTGGTTCTTGATCTTTTTCTCAAAATCCAAAAGCTGGCCCAGAAAGTTGAAGTTGGGAGAAATGGTTGGCCTTTTTTCTTTCACAAATCTGGAAAGATGGGACAAACAAAACAAGACACTTTAAGGACCTGCTGCTCAGACCTGAAAAAACCCTACAGTGATTGTTGTGAATGCTAGAAGCCTAATCTTAACTGATCGGGATGCCTGGACTGAGGTTCAATCAAGCGCAGGTAACAATGATGGAGTTAAAGGCAGTTTTTAAGCAAGATAATGCTGGATGCTCTCAATTCTCTCTATAGCTTAAAAGGTGGCTTAAAAAAAAAAAAAAAAAAAAAAAAGGAAAAGCAAGCATTCTTTTTACCTCTTTATGATGTCCGCAACAAGGTTTCAGTGAGTCATTTTCCTTATTTTACTTTACCAGTGGGATCTCTGCTATCTCTATTTCTGACTGGGTTTAAGAGCTCCTCAAGTTCTGTGTGAACAGCATCAGAGCTCCAGCCAAGAGAGCTTGGCTCTAGCTTTTGTGCTGCAGAAAGAGGACTGCCTTCCTCACCATTCACACGGAAGAAGTCCTATGTTTTTTTTCACCTACCTCTCTCTCATGCTGCTGTTATTGCAGTGAGCACTTCCTACCCTGTTCATCTTGGTCAGGCAAGACAAATAGCTCAGATATATGCTGACCTTCTACAGCAAATGCCAGTGATTTCTACCATACACTGGTATTGACTGCTGATATGATAACAAAAAAGAAAACCAGAAAGGCACAAATGCAGCATTAAAACAAAAAGGTTCTGTGGGTATTCAGCAGTAAAGGGCAACAGTATCACCAAATCACTGGAAGAGTTAATCTGTTTTTGAGTCCTGCAGGAAGCAGCCTGGCTTGCGTACACGTGCCCATCTAAGCACGCACTTACATACTCGGTTGAATATGCCCAACGTACAACGCATACTTAGAATGTTTTCCTGAACCAGGGCTCCAAAGGTATGAAAGACTTAAGTATTAGAAGTCATGTCATATACTTCAAAGTTAAATACAAAAGCAATACTTCCCACCTGTCTGACACAGCTAAGTAAGTACTCTGCTTTTTACAGGCTGTAAAACAGAAAGCTACCCAAATCCTTCCTCTTTTTTTTTTAATTTAAAAAAGCTTTCCTGAAACTATGAAGGTACCAGATGACAAGGGAATTAACAAGGGAATAAACCTTGAAGAGCTAAATCTAGTACAAACAGACATAGAATGTATCACTGGGAAAATTAAATATTATTAAAAACAAAATCTCTCTGGGGGTGTGTGCGGTCATTAAAAACAGCATGATAAAAATTCAAAGGTGTGTACTTGGGCACGTATGTACACACTAGCACAAATGCAAGGAAGCACATGAAAAAGACCAAACAAACCTGGCTTTTTTTTTTTTTTTTTTAAGTTGCCAAACAATAGTAGGAATAGTTGAGCTGACATGATGACCTGGAAGATCAGATTGTGCGAAGTCATAGTGGAAACTTGCACCATGAAGTGCCAACACTGGCAAATGGAGTAAATAGTAAGTCTCTTCAGAAGAGATTCTTTAGCTTAATCTCCTAGCACTGACTTTGGGGGCTTTTATTCCAGTGCAAGCAATTCGCTCACAAGAATTCCTACAGTCTTCATTCATTCTTTTCCAGTCGAAGCTACTTGTACATGTTACTGGATTTGTTATTTAAAGCAAGATCCTCCTGGTCAACACTGCAATTTCTGGCCTGTGTTCTGGTACCCTCTCCCTTCCCCTTTCTCCTTGTGTCACCCCAAAATATTGGGCAGTCCTAGATTTAAAACTAGCTTTTTAATAAATGAAAAGGGTTCAAGAAAGTCTGCTGGATCCTCCAACAAGTTTTAAGGCTTTGCAAACTTTTAATTTCAAAATGCATACTCTTTTTTTCCAATTGGAAAATTTGCATAACATTTAATTTTGATGTTTCCTTCCCTTGTATCATCCATTATATGAAAGGAAAGATTAAAAATGTTTATTTCCTCAGATCTTTCACTTCAAGTAATGGTGCCACCTTTTTATTTTTGTAATAGTGTTAGACAAACATTTTATCTACTGACTTTCATTAAGTCAGAGAAAAGTATTTTTCTTTCCAGCTTTGCCAACAAGAGGTCCCAAAACAATGAGGGAAACGTGCTGCAGATTGTTCTAACTAAGCCCTATCAAAGGAAATACAGCAAAATAGAATCTAAATTTCCCAGTACTTGTTCAGTATTAACAGTGCAAGAAAAAAAAAAAAAAAAAAAAGGCCTAGGATGATTAATCCTTCACACTTGATTGACACTTCTGGTTAAGAAACAAACTAGAATCTAATGCAGAGATTTCATGAAGGAATTCAGAAGCAGCACTTTAGAAGTTCCCTGAAGCATGCACATTTTACAAGTGTTTAGTACTCTACAGCTTAACCTCCAGACCACCACAGCCTGAGACCAGACAGGTTTTTTTCAGTCACTCAAGCTCATACCTTGCGCAGTATCCATCCACATCCACTAATTCATCCCTATTATCTATACCCGTGTAACTGAGTTTTCACCTACACCTGTTAACCAAACCTGCTTCATCATACATATTGAAATTACTGCAAAACACCAAACTAGTAAGAAACCGTGGAAAATTTCTAAAGGCAATGGGAGATGGTTGCACTTTCTTCACTGCACACATAATTATGCTCATCAGCTTAAACAAAGTGCCCCAATGGAAATCACACTCCACAAGCGAACACCAAATGCTCATGAGAGATGGTGGTAGCAAATGCTCTAGTGATTTGGAAGGTGCTCCTCTCTCCACCTGCTGCAGCGCAATTGTTCAAATTGCTTCTGCACCATGCATGCTATAGCGATGCGTCAGCTGTCCCAACTAGTAGATAAAGCCCATCAGAAAGAAAACCATCATTTTCTGTACAACACAACACAGCAGGTTGTTAAATGAAATAGAGCAGTCACGGTAAACTGCAGCCATGCCACCTAGAATCTGGTAAAGTGTTCACAATCCAAGTATAAAAACATGGGCTTTGAAAGGTAAAAAACCAGGGGTGGGTGTGGAGGGGGGTCTCACAAAAATTCCCTGATGCCACAAAGAGCCAACACTTCAAAATACTTTCCGGTTGAGTTTAATAGCGACAAAGAAGCTTTCTTAATTCCTAGACATTTCACCTGCAGGCAGGTTCTTTGAGAGCACTACCAAATACCAAACTGAAGTCAACAGCTCCAGCCTAGCGTTTGTGACAAGCATGATTATAAATATCCTCAGTTCTCTTTCTTTAACCGTACGCGTTCCATTCTCTGACTTACAAGATACTGTTCTATGCATGCTATAGCTGTGTGTGTAATTGTGTGTCCATACACGCACAATTAATAAGAAGTTTAAATTCCATGTATTTGCCTACTTGGAGCAAAGACCAACCATCAGCATTTTGCAGGTGGGGAATTAGTACGAGGTATGTGATGTCTACAGGCCACCACTAATTCGTTTATGGAGGAAGCCTACATTTAAAACAAGAGTGTGCAGAGGCCAGCGAACTACCAGGTAAAATAACACGTCTGCTTCTACCCTTGGCCATACAACCTTTTATTCTTCATCTTAAAAACAAACCAACAGGCACAAGAATTAATACGAAAGGAAATTTTCTCCTTACCTGTAAGCTTCGTCTAAGGACATATCCATTCTCTTCATGATATATGCAATAGCGATTGTGGCAGAGCGAGATATTCCAGCTAAACAGTGCACTAACACATGGCCATTTGATGCTTTTGCTTTTTCTGCATAGCAAAGAAATTGGCAAGTGTCACACTCAGCAGCATTACGCCACGATGAAAAGTTTGCAAAGAAAGCAATGTTATTTCAAATTGTTCAAACCTTCCAAACTAACTGCTAATTGCAAAACTCATGGAAGCTTTAAACAAAAATCACTTATTTTCTGTAGCACTGTATAGCATTGAGTCTAGAAAAAGCATGTGACTACGCACAGGAAACATACTGCAGTTACAGCATACCGCATTTTAATGTGCACATAAACAACCCTATTTAGATGTCTGGGAAAGGTGATTGTTTCTAATTTTATATGCAAGTAAAAAAAGCAAGCATTCATGATGGAATGATTTGGCCAGTTCAAATTTGGCTAGCTCACTTCTCAAAGCTAAAGACAGGATCCGTATGTCCAATTTTCTAAGTCGCTCTCTGCAGACATGTATCAGGCATCTACCAGGTGGCCAGAAAGCAGAGCTGCGCTCTTAAAAAGTGTCTTTGTTCCGTAAGTGCTGGAACACATAGTGGCAGAGTCTCCCTCTGTTATTTTGCTTCTGCGCTTATAAAGCGATGGTGATCATGGACGTAGATCCTTAGGGTATTTTCATACCACCCAGAAAGCATTCAGGTCTTCTCCAGCCAAGACAGCAAGGCAGACACACAAAGGAATCCAGAAACTGTTTTAAAGAGAGAATTTAAATTTTCTTCTCACCTATAAAATCAACTGATTTATCCAACCAAGGCAAAATTTTCTCACAAAAGCTGTCGTTCACAGGCACTCTCAGGAAATGGGATTCTGGAATAAAATCGGGCTTTGGACAAGTATTGCTGGCGTTCAGTACGTAGCCAATATCATTCTGCTGCATCAGCTCCTAGGAAAGAGAGAAAGATTAAGCCTAGAGAAGTCAAATGGTACCTTTGGCACATTACAAAGCTAAAAACCAAACTGAAATTCGTGTTGGAATTGCTGTAGCTGTATTAGGGACATTCTTTTGTTAAAAAGAACTCCTCAGCTTTTAATTCTTTGCACAACTTTTCATGAGACCTCCAGTGTGTCCAAATAACATATGGACTGCAAATCCCGTAAAATCAGAGTTACCACAGAACAGAAACAATGGTAGAATACCTTCTGCGACTATGAAGCATCACTTCCAAGAGAGTAAATTTTTTGCTACTTTGGTTTAAATTCTCACCATGCAAACTGACAACATAACCAAACACTTCCCACATGTAGTTTTCTGACCTGAATATGTGTTTTCTGGATCACAGATCTCAGACTAAGGTCGTCCCATCACATATATTGGTGAGAAAAACGAAATGAAACAGACGCCTCCTGCAGTCACCTCTTAAAGTGTCCAGGACTTCCTTGTTTCTAAGGCAATGTGCAAAACTCACTCAAAACCTTGAAAGAGCGAGCTGACTAAGAGCTGAAGACCTTGAATTAGACCATTTTCACCCAGCACTAACTGCAGTTTTATAGGAGTTCCACTTTGTGGTTTACAATTTAGTTGCTTGTGTTTCAGTTTTCAGTCTTTAGTCCTCTTGCATCTCAGAGATTGTCACAGGAACAAGCAAAGAGAACGTGTAAGAGTCAGCTGGGCTTTTTAAATACATCAATTTGCATGACTGAAAATAAAATAATAATAATAATAATAATAAAAAAAGACAACTCTTTTCTGCACTCTTCGTATTTAGATTTGTGCAAAGTAGTATCTGATGCATTAGGTACCTCAGTGCCAAAACATGTGAAACAAGTACTAGAAAACTAGAGACGGCTCTACCAAAACCACCTAGTCACCTGCAAGATGAGCTTCTTGACACAGAAAAGTAATACTGATCAAACAACTTTTCTGCTTCAGATATGATTTGGCAGTAAGTGACATGCAATACTATGCTTGGACAGTAGTTACACTGAATACAAACAGTGGGGAGCTTTTGGCCAGATTTCTATGGAAACTAATATTTGAAACTAAGCTGAAACATTAAAAAAGCCAAAAAAAATCTGATTTTAATCCTTTTGCTTTTGTAGAAATTACATAAAAAGGAAAAGTTACATCAACCCATGGGAGCGGTAGCAAGAATGGATTCTTACTCTGCAGATTTCAACCACAGGTGTACCAGTATGAAAATACAGTCATGAAGCCAAATGGTCACTTCTTCCCCATGTGTATTTTTTCTGCAAGCATAAAGATGTTTTAGTGAAGAAAAACAGGGACACGGCTATTTAGCTGAAGAGCCAGAACTCTGTCTTGTTCAAATCAGAGCAGTTTAACTAACATCTGATATTTAGTGTACAGGTACACCACATGTACGTAACAGCACGTGTGTAGAACGGATGAATACTCGCACACAGACGTATATGCGTGCATAAATTAAATGTTCACTGAGAACAAAGGACTGCAGGGGAGAAGGGAATCTACCTCAGTCATTTACAGAGGGAAGTGTATAGAACTGCTACAGGCTGCATTTTAAACAGGGAATTCACATGAATCTCTGCTAGTGAGCTGGATTTTGTTGTCTGGAGCAAAATGAGCAGCTCCTCCAAACTTTTGTCCAAAGTCCCTCTCATCAGCACATTCAGAGGTGCCTGAAGGTGCGGGCACCTTAAAGTAATGAACATACATTATATCATAAACATACCCATCCAAGGGGAACAGGAGATGAGCAGTTACTCGCAAAGCAAAAGATCAGAAATATAATTTGTAGCAATGGTCAAAAGAAAAAAGGGGGCGGGGGGGCCCTGGATGCGTCAAAATAAGTTCTCAGCCTACTGCTTCTTACCCTGCTAGTTTCCTAGGTCTCACTCCCAGAAAAGCTCAGCTTCTCACCAGTGACAACAAATTCCATGGATTTCCCCCTCTCCCGTCCTTCACACCTCCCCAACTCAACCAGCAAGTTCCCTTCAGCCCCACATGCCTTTCACAGCCAACTCCGTCATACCTTCCTTTGCTATATTTAGCTCTCACACACCGATAGACCTAAGAGTTCAAAAGCAGGAGCGCTGTAAGGAAGTAGGGGAATATTTGGAATTATCCAGAGAGGGAAGGCATTGGGAAGGGGGTTCTTGGCACGGGGGACTAACTACTGCTAGACCTGCGGTATCTTATGCGTGCAAGGGAGACTCCGATCCCCACCATCTCTGCCACACTGTCTGGGCTACACAGCTTTCCCCTTCTAGGATCCCAAACTCTTCAACATCAACATCTATAAAATAAATACCTGCTTTAGATCATGACATTGAAATACCACCCCAAAACAGCTCACCTACTGTTTGAAGGTGAGTAAGGAACAACTGGAATAGCAGGTACAAAAAGTACATGCAGGGTCATGAACATTACCATGTATAAAGGAGGGAGGCGATGAAGGCATCGCTAACAAATGGACTGCCATAATGCATATTTGTTCAGAATACAGCTGAGGGGAGGCTGATGAATTTAGAAGAAGAATAGAAAACCGTATTACTTCTTTTAAAGCGTAAGTGCTGGTAGGCCGCGCAGTCCAACCATCACGATTCCACAGTTATGCAAGGTTTTTGATGTGGAATTGATTATTCAAATGGGAACGAGAAGGCTGCAGACGCCAAGTCTGAAACCTCCGAGCCAAAAAACCACCCAAAAATGTGTTAGTGCTTGTCTTTGAGACTAAGGCTAAAGAAAGAAGTTATGCTTCCTTCTGTTCTAAAGTATCAATCATTCCCTGTGCAACACGCTCCAACGTAATAACCATAACAGTGCCTTCATTGTAAGGCACCCAAGAGGAAAAAGTGAATTACGATGGGAGGAAGATCCAGAAATCCTAATACTAACAACCTTGTGAAAAGAAGGTAAATGCTCTTTTGTCAGCTTATTTACATTTTATGACTTGTTTAATCTGAAAATTAATGGCACCCTAAAATACTATTTTGTTCCAGGGAATAATATCCAGGTCTGGCAGAAAAGAAAGAGAATAGTTATGTAAGCAGCAAAGCAGAAAGTTTTACAGTTTAAATACTGGTACAAAACATGAGATGTAAGTAGGAGGTTCGCTCAGGCCCATAACCGCAACATAGGTTTTTTTTTTTCCCCCTGTTTTCTAACTTCCAGATAGGACACTGACACTGTGAGAATTCAGGTTAGAATCAGTTTGTCTTTCACAAAGAGCAAAGACCTGTAAAAGTACCCTCTTGCAATCTCACGCTGAGACCCAAAAAGTGAAATCAACTTTTCTGTTAGAACTTTTCTGAAGAACTTTTTAGTGTTTCAACACTGCAAAAAAATATTATGAACACTTTCAGAATTAAGCATTTAGAAAGAAATCTGTAAAGCAAAAATACAAAGAAACTCTTAAAACTTTTCTGAAGTAATCATTAATTTTCCTAAAGGACACGAACCAAGCATTTGTGTTTGCGTATCTTTCATAAATAAAGCATTATCAGCAGAGGTATTAATGGCAAATAGCATTAGTATTCTTAAAAGGTCATGAATACAGACTGTCCTGCAACAAGACAAGCATTTCCCTACCCACGCACTCAGAGATAAGCTTATAAAGATCCTGAAAAGATAAGCTCATCTTGAAAAAACATGCTGAAAATTCACATCCTTAAATCACCAGGTTGAACAGTAGTGCAGATTAAGAGTTCTTTTTTCAGGTATTTTTGAGACATTTAAATTTTTGAGAAAACAGTACGTCTGGTCAATGGAAGGAATCATTGGAACTCACAGATAGCATTTAAAGGCAAAAATAAGGTCAACATATAAATCTTAATAGTTTTAGGAATCTCACTAGAATTTTTCAGAAAATTATTTTAAAAAACTCTGGACTTGAATAAAAAACCCCAAACAACTAAACAACTATTCTAATCTTAACAGAAGGTTGACTTCTTGTCCCCAGTAGCCAACAAACCAGCAAGGCCATTAAACCAGAGCATGCAAACATACCCACTTACCTCCTGGACTGTCCTAACAGAGACAGAATTTTGCTACTTATCCCTGGTTTTTGTTTCTCACCCTCTCTTTTTGAATGTTATTTGTTTCCCAGCTCTCTTACCATGTATTGGTATTTCTGGGCACTCGCTGTAGTAAGAGACATGCTCCTTGCTCTCCCCCAATACCCCTGTGTAGGATTCAGGCTTCCCCAGAAGCACAAGCGAGGAGCAGAGCTCTGCCAATCATGTTTCTAGCAGGCTGATCTGTAGCTAAAGCTAACTTCAAGTTGAACCAAGAAACTGATTAAACCCAGGAAACTGGGAATTGCCGATAGCTGGGAAAACATTTAGTGGATTCTAAAAGACAAAACCCCTAATTTGTTCCCACAGCTTCTTTTGGTTAATAAAGGTACCAATATTAAAGATGGAAGCCATTTCAGATTTTCCACAGGCAATCACTCAAATTGAAGAGGTAAGATAAGCTACCAACACACTACAATCTACTTCGGTGCAGGAAACTGACATGCTCAGAATAAAGCCTTGCCTGCCACTTCTTCAAATTAAGAGGACAAAGGTAGAAGCAACAAGCAGATCTGAAATCTTCAGATGTGGTTTTGTCCCTAAACGGGTAAGAACCTAAGAGGTACATTCCTTAGTCATCTATGGAAGAACTTCCAAGAGACTGACTGTCAAGGATAACACCACCAGGCAATAAGAACTTACTGAACTTTCTGTGGATTGTATGCTGTCGTTTTTGTGGTTCTCCATGTAAAAATGGGAAACACAGCAATCCTTGATCATAAGTCCCCAGAATATATGAGAAAGTACAAATCTGACCAACTCTTGGGGGCCCTGCATTAATTCTAAAGTACCTGCAGCTGCAGCACTTCCTGATATCTAATGGACACATGCTGAAATACTATCAAGATTGTAGATTAACAGGCAAGAGAGCCACTACCAGGTCTAAACGCTTCCTGTAGACAGCTCTGCCACACTCGAGGTCACCAGCAGTGGTTGCGGTTTTAGCCTCCTCCGGCCCTGTAATGATATTCCTGACCGCTGCTACCACTTGGATTCCTTTCCTGGTGGGGCACACGCACTGTGCGTAACGCCTATTCATAGGCACCAATTTACTGCAAGGAAAGGAACGGCACAGCCTCTTTCATCCCTCTGGGATTATTCACCACTGAAAAGCCACAGCACTGGGGTTCTAATCACATCCCAAACCAAGCAGCACATCCCTGGTCCTGGAGGAGAACAAGTTGCCCCCTCACCTCCACTGTGACCTAGGATAGCACTTGCCATTCACACATGGAAACAAACAGCATAAAAGCATCTTTCTAATACTCTACCATTTAAAGCAAGGAACTTTTTATATTTTTTTAATTACTTAGTTCCTGCTGTCTTTTGTCTGGGGACCACAAATTACTTTTGTGGTAGGAAAAGCAATAAGCTGCTTTGACATCCATCATAACTGAATCAAGTTTGAATTGCTGACTTGCTACCTGGCAGTAAAGACACAGAAGGTTTTAAAGGACAAAGTAAGAACAATGACTGCTGACTATCCTCCATACAAAAGATTTTTCTGCGTGCTCTGTTAGAGCACAATTACTTTCTACGTGATTGTTTGTGCGTCAAAGATCCCTTTAAAACAACTGTAAAAATAGGCTATTAATGGCCAGGCTGGGATGGAGTACAAGCAGAAAAAACAGCGAAAACTATGATAATGGTCAAAGTATATTAATTTGATCCAATTACAGGACTATTAGGCTAGTTCCTGTCTTAAGCTTTATACATGGATTAAAAAACCATGCACATAAGCCTTGCACATCATTAAGGCAGTATGTTAGGGTAAAACGCTCCTCCCCTCTCCCCCATCCATGTATCTGACGTCAGCGTATGAAGGCTGTTGGAGATTCAAATAATATATGGGACTGCCAGATAACATGGCAGGCAAGAGGCCACAGGCAGCAGAAGTAATCAAAATTCCCTTGTGAAGGGACCCAAGATATAGATTGTAAGCAATATGAGTTGGTCTCCTCATGGAGGCAAACATCTGTGGATATACATAGGAATACAGACCTGTAGCAACTGGAGACAAACTCTTTTAGACATCTGATAGTCCAGCACCCTGCAAGTGCTGTATTTGATGACTTTGCTGACTATTTTAAGTATACCAAAATGTCCTGGGCTATTCTATAGGAACAAAACTTACTAAATGCACATGTATGTAGAAACACTAATAGTTTCTTTGGGCACTGCTATCATAAAAGCTTATTTTAAATGACCCCATTGATTGTCCAGGTTGGAACATTTTATTAGGTGTACAGAGATTTGTTTGCAGTAATCCCTTGTTATACAATTCATGGTATATAAGTCTTATTTTTTCCCAGCACTTGAAGGAAATACTAAAAACCAGACAATCTTCCTTTGTCCTACTGTAACCATTAATATATTAACATCCAAGACTCACTGAAACAAATCAGTTGGAGCTATACCCAGGAAACTACCTCACCTGCTGTAATGGCAGATTTAATAGTTTGCTGTTGGTTGACAGGTTACTGAGGAAGGTACCATATAATCTTCTCTGAGATGAAGGAGAGATGACACCAAGTTTCATATTACATGCCACATGGATTAATTATATGGTCTGTGTATCATTAGTTCTCACACAGCTTTCCATGTCTTATGCACAGACAGCTATTATCTATATCTACTTAAGATGTTTTATAGCTGTAATGATGCAGTATGATAGAAGCATGGATGAAGACACATGGAAATTATGCACTCATCCAAGTAAACAACATGACACCCAGAACGCTCACCTTGTTGAGGACATCCCGTTGACACCCAAGATAGAGATGAGGCAGGATTCTGGTTGGACCAATGTTGGAGACAGGTAGGCAGGGCTGAGAAATGCAAGTAGGGACGAGTGTGGATTTTCCTTCACAGAGACCGGGGAAAGAACTGGAGAACTCGGCAAATCCACCTGTGAGAGGGACAGTATGTAATTCATTTACATGCAGTGCTGTAGGCATTGCTGCTCATACCAGTTCTCAGAAAGCAGCATTTGTTGCAGGAGATGGGAGGCATCAAGGGGCAGCAGGAAAGCCTTCAGAGAGGAACTGTAGGTGTGCCTCTTCCAGCGGTGCCATGGCTGTGCGGAACCATCTGTCAGCAGGCAAGGCCAGACTTCGTAGTCCCACTCTGCCTGGAACGTTTATTTCTCTCTCCATTCCTCAGAAGTTTTTGATGCTTCTTCCCATTCTTAATGATATGTGGAAATGAGACTTTAAAAAACCAGCCACAACACCCACCATACCAAAACTGCACACACCTTTTCCTCTCTGCCCTAGCAAGCTGTTTTTCTACACACCTCCTTCTCCTGTATTAGGTCTATAATTAGACTTCATTAATAAAAAGTCATGTTTACTCAATTTGGTAAAAGCATCAATATGTGGTTATTAATGTTTGCTTTCATCCAACACACTGGAAGAGGTTTCATCTTTCAAAACCACATCAAGCTAAGGCTTCTCCATCTCAAGTAGGGGAGGCGAGGCAGAATGGGGGACTACAGGAGAAGACTTTGCCCACCCATGGACTGCCCTAGCAAATCACCACAGGTCTCTACGCCCTTTACTGCTGGCTGGTTCTTCATCTGCACCAGTTATTTGGCCCTATCCATAGTATGGCTCCAAAACATTTTCATTACCATTTCCCACCACTGCATTAAACCATTCAAGAAAACTAGAGTGGAGTGACTGTTAATACATTTAAATCCACCTAAAATCCCAGTGGCCATCAAAAATGCTCCTAGGCTCTTTCACCATCAGCATGGCACAGCTGCTTATGGAACATGAAGGGAATTAAAAAAATGAGATTGAGACTGCTCTAGACACAAATACATATAGCACAGCTCAAGCTCCATTTCTTTTTCTTGCTTGGCTAGTTCCCGGCATTATCTGTGCTACCAACGGTGGTCCAACTGGCTTTACCCACAGTTAGAAAACAAAACTGAAGAAGCCTCCAGCAACAAACTTATACTTCGGCTGAACACGTTCTCACAAAAGCTAGCTAGCTTTTTCCAAGCCTAGCTAAACCCCAAGCTCAGCTCATCTTCAGACTAGTTTGTGAAGATGAAGTATGAGAAAGAACCAGAGGCAGCTGCTTAAATCAGCATGTTACAGGCTTTTCTTGACTGTTTACACCACTTAACAGCCAACCAGTGAGGGTGAAAGGCACAAACCACAGTAAATGTCCCCAGCTATTTCCTCACATTAAAGCATAGAGACAAGTGGAATTTTAAGTGAAGGAAGAGTAATTATAAACCTGTTCAGAACAAGCACCTTTTTATCATCAAGGAAGTGAAGTATTAATGTGCTAAATCTGCCAAATGCTGTGTTCACTATTATTACAGCTTGAAGATGTGAATTAAAATGATACAGAAATAAGATAATGTACTGTTTTGTCAATGCTTGCATTACCATTGTCTGAATTATGCCTATTCTTTTGATTTTAAAATCTGTATCTTTAGTAAATGTAGCAAAAACCAAGGTAAGAGCCACGTGTGTAACAGCCCATTTTATCTTATGGAACAAAAAAGTCAGCAAGCAGTTTTCAGAACAAAAGTTTTATGAACAGCGATTCCTGTTCACTCTCCTGACTTACAAAAAAAAAATTAAAAACAACCCCACTTGTCTATTTTGTTAGGTAAGTGACTTTAGACAACTATGACAATGTTCATCATGAGAACATGAAGGTGAGGTTGGACTGTATGGGATGGGCAGGGAGGATGCTAAGCTAAGGTACAGCCCATCACAGAACCATACCCCTAAACTGAAGGACATAATAAAGGTTTGGCTCTCACATTTTCTATCCCTGTTAGTTGAGTTCCCTCCTTCTTGCTTTACAACCTCCCTGTTCAGGAGCACAGATGCTGCTTGTTCAATGTATCAATCAAATGACAGAAGGAGTTTGCAAAACAATTCTCTCACACACTTGCTAGATTTTCTTCTGCATGGCATAATGTTTTCCCCTCTGTTATAAGAGGCAATCCTTGAATTTATAGGCACTATATGCCTCTCAGATTAAATTTAACGTAAGATATGGCACTCAGAAGTTCCTTGAGCGGTTGGGGGAAGAAGGAGAAATCAACTATCAATCTTTGGTTTCACTTGCTCATTCTTTATTTCCTGGGAAGATTGTTGGCTGCTTTCGGGAGCCTCTCTCTGACACGGCTGGAAGTGACTCTTCTTCCTCTCAGATTTAAATTTTTTTTATGCCTCTCAGATATGGCACTCAGAAGTTCCTTGAGAGGTTGGGGGAAGAAGGAGAAATCAACTATCAATCTTTGGTTTCACTTGCTCATTCTTTATTTCCTGGGAAGATTGTTGGCTGCTTTCTGGAGCCTCTCTCTGACACAGCTGGAAGTGACTCTTCTTCCTTACATAGAAGCAGCACAAGCAAAGAAAAGATTTTACATCTGTGCTTTCTTTGTAAAGGACTACATGGGTAAAGTTCAACAACAACAAAAAAGAATTTTCCCAACTACCTATGGATTGGTCTCACTTCCGTATGAACGCTGCAACAAGAAATTATGTAAGAAGCTAATATGCAAAAAACCCAAGATGTTGGGAGATGGAACCCACACACTGTTATCATAAGTGTAAGGAGCAATTAATTATTGTATTTTTATTCTCGGACTCTGTCAAGGCAAACTTGAAGTGATTCAAGATTAGATATTTCAACACTTCCTCTGGGACATTCATTCCTTCAAGGTCATGTTTCTTCTTTCTACTCATGCTTTCCTAGTAGCATGTTGCTTCAGTATCTTTACAACATGAATTATAACCACAAAACTCAAATCAGATACCTCAGACATTACATTATGTATCTTTACACATACTCCCAAGTGAGCTCTCCTTTCCTTTGAATATATTTTAACCTAGTATTAGTATCAGTAATGAAGTGACTTCAAATAGCATGCAATCAGTGACTTGTTTCAAATACGAATCTATCTCCCTGCCATCTTCTGTAACCATGTCAAAAAGTTAGTACCTTTTCAACAAATCTGTCATTGATTTATGGCACTCGCAACAGGAAAAACACGTTCTAGATCAACGTATGATGAAAAATTGCTTTAAAAAAACCAAACAAACCCATACCAACAAAACACACTCTTGTACGCGTCCTGCTAGACTACTGATTTCTTCTAGTGCAAGAAACATACTATCAGGGGTCTGGAACAACAGTGTCCACGTGTACAATCTCTGAACTGTCAAGTCATTATAAGACTAACTTCTAAAGATGTGCACTCATCACTATTTGCTTGCATTGACTTACAAAATATATTTTTTAAATATATAGATAAATATATTT